AACAAGAAGCATGTTTTTACTATCATATCCCGATAATGGCTAAGGTGTGGCTGCGTACTTTACTTGAACATAACGCATAATGGACTTTTTGCGGTCTATTTCCACTTGAAATTACTGGCAACCTATTCGATGTTGGACAAGGACTTGACTACAATTGTACCAGAAGAAAAGATCCCGGCAGGGGAGCCGGGTTCGAATGGAGTACGCAGCCACGCCCACACCATCTAAGAGATTTGAAGTGTAGCGCCAGTGCACGCCTGACTCGACTCTGCACTTCGCAACTACATTATGGCTACCTGCACCCTGTTCCGTTTATCTACCGGCCTCATCTCGAAAATTTGACAAAAGATAAGGTGTTTTCTTCCTTTCATTTATTGAGGTTCAATAAGTGGATAAATGCAATTTCATATAAAAGGGTTTGAATAATGAACGTGATTCAAAGGTGATGCTCAGAACTTGGAGCGTAAAGAAAAAGGCAACTCACAGATTATCGAAATTTTTGGGGTAAGGCCGAAGATTAAGTGGTATGGGGCGTAGTCTACCAAGACCCGACCGATTTGACACGAAATTTTTGTTCTGAATATTGGAGAGCAGAAGGAAATGGTGTTCCTGAGTACGCGCGGCAACGACTGCTGTTCCCCGCGTCGACTCTCTTGTACCACCGCTCTTTTGTCTATCCCTCGCAGCCTCCGCCGCACAAATTTGGAACTTTCAAAACGCCGCTTCCGCCCTCAGATATGGACTACTTGTCCAGGCAGTCTAGGTATAGAAATGCTGGCCTGCGCGTGTAGGAACGCCTGCCTCAAAGCGCTCACAACGCATGGAAACTAGTTTCATTCTCGCATTATCGATTAAGCGCGTGTAGGTAGGTTTAGTTTGAAGTTCCTTCGAGCAAGGGGTTCCTTTTTCTTCTGTGAAGACCTGATGACGCAGGAGTAGTGCACTACCACAGATAGCCACGAAACTGCCAGCCGAAGTTGCCATGGTTACCCATTCTTAGAAAAATACGTAAATCACCTGCCTTTTTCTGTGCATTCGAAGACGATATGATCAGTAGATGTGGATTCTATGAACTCTCATGAGCAGATCCTTAACGGAGGGACTGGAAGGAATCGAAAGATAAAAGTTTATGGTGTTTTTTAGTTCGTCTGTCGTTGTGTGGTGTGTGTGTGTGTGTGTGTGTGTGTGTGTGTGTGTGTGTGTGTGTGTGTGTGTGTGTGTGTGTGTGTGTGTGTGTGTGTGTGTGTGTGCTTGTGACTGGTGTAGTACAGGTAAGCTCCTTTGAGACAATCTGTACACTCACATCTGAGGACAAACTTAGGCAGATGCGAGGTGAACTGGTCCACAGCTGCAGTAACGTGCCGCTCTCTCCAATCAAAAGTGCACGCGAACGGGGATGTAGTGAAGTGATACCCGCGCACTGTCTGCATACTCCACCCGCGCTATCCTCAATGTGCAGCACTTGCATCGATTTCCGCGTCCCGCAGCAGAACACACATTCAGCGGCAGAGAGCAATCAGAAGTGAGAGGGCGCAGGGAAGTAGCGCATTTGGCTATGGATGGGCATGCGGCAGCGCGAGTGGAGTATGGAGACGGCACTGGGATATCACTACCATCTAGCCGTGTTCCAGAGCAGTTTTGACCGAGGAAAGCGGCATGCCACTGCCGGACCCATTCTCCCTACACACGGTATGGATCGAGATCCGCAGAGGGCGAGATAGAGTTTGTCCTTAAATGCCCCTCTGTTCGGACTCGCCCCGTGCGCTTGAATTCGCACCAGAACCTTATCGATTTGACGCGGAAGTGCTTCATTACCTCAGCCACGTCAAAGCTTGCTTAGCTCCCTCTTGCCACATGCTGACTGTTTTTGCAAGTATGAAGCTCAGCCATATCCATTTTTATTCATTGGTTGAGATTCGAATACGAGCGATCGCTATAACGGTGCAAGAGCTTTTGTGAATATTCTAGAAGTCAAAGTAGTAGTATTATCCGGACAACAAGAGTGCTCTTCCAAATAGGTCACGTCTATATCACATAGAGAGCGAATATCCCTTTGCCACTCTTATGAAATGCTATTCAAAGCTCCTGCCTTACCCCTGAATTTGTCATTGTTTGCCTGATATATCCCTTTTGCATTTATTTTCCCCATGTACCTGGACCTTTGGCATGATGATGACCATATTCGGTCATCTCAATCATTTGTCTAAAAGTTTATAAGCCCAAGATGGCGTGCGCGAACGCTGTGCAGTCGTGTTCGCGGATCGAGGGGCATGGTTAGGAGGGATGTGTTCAGCGCTCCGCCAAACCCATTTTCCACTAGTTGATGAAGCTGACATGCAGCAAGTCTTTGTCATAACGTTCGTATCAGTCGTTTTCCACCAAATGTTTTTGCTTACCCGCTTTAACAACTGGTGAAGAACGGATTGACGTCGCACCAAACACATTCCGCCTGACCACGCCCCTTCATCCGCAGCGAACGAGACTGCAGCTGAACAACAGTAGAGTGCACGTTCCCCGCTGTGGCTATAGTGTGCGAAAATCAATTAGATAAGGATCTTTCATTACGAATTTATGATAATATTATTTCAGAACGAAGTAAGCGAGTGCAAATACGGTATATTAAATGTGCGGGCCTACTATAATGCAAATTCACAGACGCTTGTATTGGATGGTATGCAATTAAACTGTTTATTACCATTATTAGGAAGAAATTGTTCGTAAATTCAGTGATCGGTGCGAAGCAGGTGATCCCATTGGATGCTAATGGACTCTCGGATCCATTTGTGGTTATACGACTTGTTCCAAAATATCGCTATCCAACTCAAGTCGTCAGTAAGACGCGAGTCGTCAGCAAAACTATGAACCCGATTTTCGACGAGACTTTCGAATTGTAAGTTGTTGTAGCCCCTATTTTTGTGAATATGTCATCCATAGGTGCAATACTGCACAGTTGCAATAATTGAATGGGCCGAGTAATTGAGGGGGAACTACAACCATTACAGTTGATAACGCGCAATCGGTCGGGGTGGTTTCAAGAGAGGTGGAGTGAGCTCTACCACTGCTTGTTTTCTTCCTGATCGATCACTGACAGCTCACTATTGGTGGAAAACTCTGCCGGAGGCGGGCTCATCCCGGCCTTCACCGTCCAGACTGATTGCGATGATGGCAATCATACCATTTATCATTGAAGCATTCGTGCTTAGACTGAAAGTACGTGAGCACAGATAAAGAGAGCACACTTTTATGAGTCGTCGCCCATTTCTCCAATCACTCGATTAACCACTATCCCATTATAGATCAGCATCTCGAAAATATTGATATTGAAAGTCTGCCTAAATATGTAATGATATAAGTATTCTCTGCACCGCTAGAAGCCCTGTTTAGCATATCTGAAGTTGTGAATGATATCGTCGCAATTCCAGGCCTTCTGGCGTTGCCAGAAGGCCATGAATGGGCTCGACCGTGGCTTTTCTGTGACTGATCTTTTCTACCTGGGGCCCCCCACATTGATAGAAAAAGCAGCCGCATACGGGCTAATTCCACGCCTCCGTAACATCAATTTTATGCAGGGAACGCGATGGAAAAAATGTCAAACCAGAGCATTGTATAGGCTTCAAGTACTTACCTATTTTGTACTCCGCTCGCGTGTAATGGCTTTTGACGGCTTGGTCACATATGTCTTCTCGAAGTTTGGTGCAAGCTGTTCCTTGGATCATCTAGTTTACTTTTGAAAAAAATGTGAAAAATTGAATTTTTTTATTTATATATTTACTGGTATTGTGCGGAGTTAGGTTTGCCATCCCTGTCTGTCAATAGCTGTGGACGGGATTGCAATAGAGGCGGGGTTTGTGAGGGCACAGACAACATGACCGCTCCAACATTGACGAGCTTCCTCAGGCATACTGATGAATAATCTGGCTGATTTTCTTCAACTTCGCACCTTACAAGCAGCTCCATCCTATGACTCCGCCTCATCTTTGCGTCGAAGTATCTCAACACGCTCTGGTCTGGATATCTTGCAACCCATATATGAGGCAGCGTTCGGACTTCGCGATGACGCGCTGCGACGCGCCATTACAACCGCGCGCTACTGCTAAAGAAGGGAAAGCAGCGATAGTTGGGTACCAATCGGAGCCGGCCGCTAGTTGCCTAATCACCCATACTCTCCCAAACACCCACACTCTTTCGAAACAGCAGGCTTGCGCCGATCGATATGTGTCTATTGCTGTGTTCCCATCTATAGCACTGGAGCACGGTTGCGTGGTAGCGTATCAGTGCGCGTCAAGCTCTGAATGCTCCCTTCGTAGGTATGATGCTGAAGTAATACGCACGTAGCAGAAGTAGCACATAGTTTATGAGCACGTCAGAGTTCCGATTGAAAACTCGTTGATATCTCAGGAGTACGACCTGGCCATAGTGCGGAATACTTGGGATACGAAACATTTCCATATCGAATATCTAATATTTATTATTTCCAGTCCACATTCCGCCAAAGCTGCCGCCATGCGCTATGCTTCACTTCACCGTCATGGATCACGACTACTTGCGATCGAACGATTTCGCTGGAGAAGCATTCCTGGAGCTAGCTGATGTGAGAGTCTTCATTTCTTGGATTTTACGTCACCTGTCTAATATTTGTCAGTTCTAATCATAATAGCAACGGGACGATTTTTCGATTATCAGGAGTCCCCCCCCCCCCCATCAAAAGAGCTCTCGAAATTCGGTCAAAATGCTGGCATGTTTGATCAATGCTGAAAAAAAACCCTATCCTTGTCAGGTTGGCAAAAAGCGATTGAGCTGAGAAAGTAAGAGCGATCCCTGTAGCGAAATGGATATGCAGTCGCCTCATCAGCGGGAGATGCGAGTTCGAGTCCTGTCTGGGATCTCACTTTTGCCAATAACTCAGCGATCTAGTAATAACATCTTCTCCTTTTGTTTCTCCTGCGTTTCTCATCCTGTGAAAAAACTAGTACCTGGAAATTCCCTCTGGATCCTTGCCACTAGTTATTTGCAAATGTGCGATGTGTCTTTAAATACGGGAATTCGAGGTTCGGGGTACGAGGGGAAAGTACAGCTCACCTTCACAAAATAACTCTTATTTGAAAACGCTTTGAAGTGAGTTTTATTACAGGTCCCAGGCTTTGGAGTAGCTGGCGGCAATACTCTTCGGCAATTTAATCTCATTCTTATACAACCTGTTCAAAATAGTAAGTCTTGAATTTCACATTTTCTTGATTTTATTTAAAGACTTATTTTTGATTCAATTCCAACGAAATTCTCTTCAGATAAAGAAATAATTGATGTGTTGGCAAGTAGAAAAGAAGATAAAGAAGCGCTCGAATTCCTTCGGTCGATTACTACGGCTTATTAGTTTTGAAATTGTGTCAATATTGCACAGTAATCGAGTGATAATCATATTATTTCATGTGCAATTTGAATTGTATAACATCACTATAGAAGCTTTATATAAATGCGGTATATATGCGGTTAGTGCTAGGAACAGGTTTTGTTCCAACAGTTTTTTTTTTTTGTATTTTGTTCAAATTACCCACCTATTGGATATAACTGCTTCGATATCTGGTCATTCGACAGGCATTCCATTGTACATTCATTGATCTCGATAATACTTCTCTATGAATTAAAAATTATGTACATTGTGGTGTTGTTGCAATACATGAAAACTCGTGCGTCTAGGTCAAAGGAGCGTTCCTAACCCACGAAAATGCAAAAGATTGTTTGGGAAGGGTAATGTGGCTCACAATGGGAACCTAGTGCCAATTTTGCCGCACACAGTTATGAGGTAAAGAAGTTAAGACAGCGCCCGCGCTCTAGTAGTACATGGTCGTCCTTCCTTGTGCAAGTAGTACAGCCCCCAAGCTAGAGACTGTCCCACTCTCGCGACTCCACAGCGAGCGAGGAGCTACAGCTGCTGAAAGTTCTAGTTCTAACGCCCGCCCAGTTGGACCGCCCACTTGCTAGATGCCCTCTGACGGAGGGCCGCTCAGTTGTTCTTTGTTGGGGCGGCGGGCATTAATCGGAATTGCATGTCCTTTTTGCTGACCGCGCTCGTGCCCATGAATAATTCTGCTCTCCTTTATTACATTTTATTCATTAGGAGCACATACAGTCAACTCCAACCCATCTTGCAAGGTAAAACGCGTAAAAATCACGAGCGACCCAATTTTCGTGGTGCAAAAGCTCGACGCACCACACTACACTAAAAGATGCAACCTTAAATTCACCCTAGTTTTTGAAAGTTTCTTTTCCTTTTCAAGAGTTTTCTTCCGTGTTTTTGTTGTTTTCGTATTCTTTTCATTGCATTGGATGATACCCACTACTGGGAGATGTGATAAAGGAATTTGTGAGCCAGGGGTTGCACAGAGACCGCAGGAAGGTGTGACTGCCAGGGAGCGATTTTGTTTATAGTGTTCTTGAGGACTCTTCTTGCTTTTTTTCTTCTTTGGGGAATTACTTATCAGCTACTGTTTCATAACTTGAACAGCAATTATCCATGACACTTTTATCGCGGGAGCTGTCTTTGAGGCGCAGTTGCTCCAGTGGTACAGCCCTTTCCAGTGACCCCGTCTCCAGACTCTGCCACCCAGCCGAGAGCGCTGCTACCCGACAAGCAGCAAAACCGCTGGCTGGACTTGCCCCAACACGCGATTTTTTCGGCTTTACCCGTGCAGTTGCTTGAGGAGGTATTCTATTGAGGGCGCTGCCGACATTAAATATAGCATTGCCTCTTCAGAGACGAGTCCCTGACAACCTCTCTTCCATATTTCGATATCAATCCGGTCCTTATTGCGACAGTGCCTTAAATGAGTCAGTTTTCACCTTGTGGATCCTATGTTGCTTTACAACCTAAGGCAACATACCCATAAGCAAATGAACATGAGGGAATAGTCAAGAGGGCGTTTGAGTGCCTCAGCGTAGAGAACAACCAAAAGTGAGAGAGCGCAGAAAAGTAGCACGTCTGGCCATGGTTAGATGACGTGTGGTAGGCGAAGGGTCAGCGCAAGCGGAATAGGGAAATGCAACCGGCTGACTCTCCAGTCCCGTTCCCCTGCACTCGTGAGTAGAGAAGGTGGCACGCTACTGCAGCTGCGGACCCATTCACCTCGCAAACGGCAAGGACCTGGACCCACCGAGGTTAGTTTACAGTTTCTCTTCAAAGAAAAACCAGCTTTGTGACTGGAAATACGGGCACATATCTGCTTTTGTTCTGCGAAAATCAAGGCTTCCAAAAACTGCCATAACTTGTGTTCCATAGTAGCGTAACGCACCAAGCTGACAATTCGCCCAACGAACAAAAACAAGAAGGAATTTATTATATTTTCTACAATGTCTCCATAGAAAAAGCAAAACGTCTACAAAAGAGCAACAACAAAAAATAACAATTGAAAAAAGATAACTTCACTAAACAGCAAAGAGAAGGCTAAAGAATAGTTTCAGTCAATCTTCATACTGCAACATATGTTGGTGCCTTTAACTGCTGGTGGGAGGAGCTCGTGAGTGCCTTCTGAAAACCTTTTTGGTTTTCCGTCGCTGGCATCCTCCGCAGTTTCCGTTTCACATGCGCAATCAACCCCCCTTCCCATATGACGGCAGGCGGCCGTTCAAAAAAACTGGATATTTTGGGGAACTAAAATTCGGAAAACTGGTAGAAGTTGAGAGAATTTGAGAAGATCGCAGGTAGAATTAGAAGGTTGTTCTTCTTCAAAAAATTGGATGTTCTGGGAAAAAATTCGCGGAAACTGATAGAGTTGAGTTTGAGAAGATGGTAGTGTAGAATTGGGCGGCTGTCTTTTTGAAAAAAAGGGATGTTTTGGAAAAAATTCGGGAAACTGGTAGAAGTCGAGAGAATTTGAGAAGACGGTAAGTGGAATTAGGCGGCCGTCTTTTTTTTTTGAAAAAAAAAACTATAATTTGAGTGAAAAAATTCAGGAAACTCGTAAGGAGTTCAGAGAATCTGAAAAGAAGGCAGGTGGATCAGGCGGAAGTCTTTTTGAAAAAAAAAACAGGAAGAAAATTCGGGGAAACTTGTATGGAGAATGAGAAGATGGTAGGCAGAATTAGGAATGGTGAAGGAGGAAATTCCGAGGGAGGGTCGTTCTTTGTAGAAAATTTTCCCATTGGCAGGACGTGCCCTGACTAAACTAGATAGTTCTTAGTATACGATGGAGTGAGCAAGTCTCCTAAAAAATTACCTACCAATATTCCAGAACAGGCACGTACGGTGGGGAAAATGAGAAGTCGTATTTGGCCGGAAGATGTTTCAGACTGTTAATCTTTTCTTTTAAGACGACCACCCCTTTTTCAGCTGGTGACGCGGCAAAACTACCACTTCTGGTAGTTGATGGAGGTGTACACGCAGTCCGTCCCACCCCTTCTGCTAGACAGCAAAACCTTTAGGAAGGTCTTTGAGATGGCTGAATATCAGCGAGGGGGGGAGGGGTATTTGGCTGAAGTTCCCCCAAGGCCAAGACGCGCCGTGTTCACAAACTGCACAAGACCGGTAATTTTCTTTTTACTTAGGATTTTCGCCATAACTGTGCTCCAAAGCAGGAGGCAAGTGACCCACCGCCAACTTGAGTTCGTGGACTACGATGAAGTTCGTGGCAACACGACGAAGTGCGCTGGTGTACACGCTTTAATGAGATAGCGCCTCTCTGTGCACACCTGCAGCCCGTGTCGGCCCATGAAACTCTTTCCGCGCACTTTTAAAGGAGACAAGGGACAAACTCTTGCAGCTAAGGACTGGCCCGTCTTATAGACGGAAGGGATTGAACCCATCCTCTGACCGTGATGGCTTCTCAGGAAGAAAGGCCCGCCCATCATGTCCAACAACCCATATCGGGGATGCCAGTTATACACGTCTACAAAAACAACATATAATATTGAGATTACCTGTATCGATGCTCGCTTGATATGATGCTGATATACTCGTTTGGACGAAAGACAGCATATTCAAAAGACATTATGAGAATAAGAAACAAGAATAAGGAGAGTGTAACTTGAATAAGGCAGCGTTGAGGCTTCGCGTTACAGCGCGTCGACGCGCTTTAACGCACTGCAACAGCGTCCCAACCCTCTAGATGCAAGCAGCCGCAGATGAGAATCAATACGCACCGCCCAAGCCGCGACTGCCAATCGATACCAGCCTATGTGATTAGGCAACGCGTACCCTCCAGTTCCCCTAACTCTCTCAATACACAAGCGTCGCCGATTGATTCTCGTCTGCGGCTGTATTCGCGTCTATAGGGTTGGAGCGCTTTTGCAATTGTAGCGCGTTGCAGCTCGTCTACGCAAAGTGACGGAACATGCCAGAGCCATGATTTAGACGATTAGGATGATGATTTAGGTCTGATCATCATAATGGACTTCTTAGGATGAATAACCCTTCTCTTGTGGCCTGACGTCACATTTTGATATACGAACATCATGTTGCGATGCAGCGCTGTTGTGTCTCCGTATAGGCCATTCAGAGCGACATTACCGCACCTTTCATGCCACCATCCACTGTAAAGACAAGAAATTAACTATTTTTCATCGAAAAAAGGCAGCTGGCCTGATTGCTGGAGGCGGATGATTCTTGCCAGCGTAACTGGTGGAAGAGTTGCGAAACAGCCTTGGGCCACACCCCATTCAGCCCTTCCACCAATAACGTTGGAGACAAACCCCGTCCCTAGTTATCGTGGCCATGCCTCTGAATGTCATCATGTCCCATGTCAGACGCGCGTTATAAAAGCTACGCGACTGCATATCGTAGGCAGTAATGTCCACACATGAATCTGTAGTTGCTGCTTTATTTGCCAATGAAGAAAGACCCAAAAGATACCATCCCTAAATAGGGTCCGGCAAATTTTCAGCATTGGAAGATCACGCGGTAAAACGAGAGTGCACAGGCAAAACCGTGGGAGAACAAGGGCACACAAACAAATCAACACATAAACTCTGGTTCGCCGGATGAAGGGGCATGTCGGGGAGTGTGAGTGCGCCACGGCGCTACACCCGTTCTGCCAGCTGCTGAAGTAGGTATGCAAGAACAATTGGCAGAAAACGACTCTTACGAAGGATCTCAATTTTGTCACTTGCTCTCTTCAACAACTGATGGAGAACGGATCTGGCACCGCGCCAAACTCATCCCGTCTGGCCCGCTCCTTCGTCCGTAGTGGACTAGACAATACACGCAAAGGCCAGAAAATCGATGACAACGTGACCTGCACTGTGATGTGAATTTTCGCGAGATTTAGAGCGCTACTCCCAGTCGCGACATCGCTCGAACTAGCCAGAATATATCCTAGCTAACTGGACAGAGAGATACAGACACAGAGAGCTTAGTTGACTTGAGAGACGCAGAGGTAGGGAGAGTTGACGCGCCGCAGCACTGCTTCGTTGAATTGCATGGGTCCTGGTGCGAATGATGCGTATATCAGCCAACGCCTCTTCCTCAAGCTCGTTTTGACTCGGTAAGGTTATACACACAAGAACCGTCAGTTTGAGGACATGAAACCAAATATTGGTACTACATTTACATTTTTGATAAAATGGCGTGCAGCATGACCAAAACCAGAAACTTCAAAGCGGCTTCTTCAGAAAAGTGAAGCAGGAAGCGCTCCTTATATCCCAGAAAGTGGGGTAATTTGAAACAATATAGAAGTTGCCCTGTGAGCATTTCCCGTGTTTACTACTATTACTGCTGAAAAGATCGAGTTAAAAAAAACAGGAAGGCAGAAACAAATCCGTGATTCCGTGTCTGAGCGCAGTTCGAGCCAGCATCGTCGTTGTCTCTATCCACGGTCGTAAATGGGTGCCCGTTGTTGCGTTGGAAAAAATCAGAATTTTCATCTGTGAGATTTCCACGAATTACGCTACCTAATTCGAGCAGATAAAGTTGCGATGCGTCACCAAGCTAAAATACAATAATACACAAAGGAGAAATCAAAAATTATCACAAGAATTAAAAAGACGTTTTTTTCCGTAAAAAAGTGCTCACCTTGAAAGGCCACTCTGCCCACCAATAACCGTCACTTTGGCCAATACATCCATGACCCGCGCAGTAATCTCCGTTTAATTCAATCCGTAAAATCCAACTGTCACCGGTCCGAGGAGCCAAATGATGGACTTTTTCAAGCCCAAGCCAGTGAAGACTCTGAAAATTCCCGTGTGTATGGTCGTTTTCGTTGCAAATGTTGGTGTAAGGGGGTGCGTTTGGCGCGGCGTTAGCCGGTTTCCACCAATGTCGCTTGCCCGCTTCAAAAATTGGTGGAGAAAGGACTGACGGCAGGCCAAGCACAGCCTCCCAGCATCTGCAACTAAAACTACTGCATCAATCTGCGCTTCGACATAAACAAAAGGACACAAATACGATATTAAACTAGCCATCAAGATCTCCGAAGCCATTCGCATACTCGTCCCATGTACGATTGTGAAAGTGAACCTTACTGCTTACACGTCTAAATGACAACAAATGTAAGATACAAAAAAATAAGCTGACCACAAGATACTCAATGTTAAGGACTTCTTACCTCTGAATAACCGTCCAACCTCCACCAGCCGTCTCTTGATCGCAGAAAACTGGAAATGGTACGGCACCACTCGGTGAAATTAGATAAATCCCTGATCCTTTTCCGGAACCCAAATGTTCTGAGCAATCCTGGAACAAGCATATCAGTAGATACGAGAAGAAACGTTCAGTATAAGTGAGCATTGCCCGCTAACATTTTTCACATCCTCTGACATGAGAACCAGCGGCACATTTGTAGTGAATTCTTTCTGAAACACAAAGATGAACTGCTACTGTTAACATGTTCCCACAAACGCTCATGATGAAGAAAATCAAGATTTCCAAGGAAAAAGAAAGTGATTTCAAGAAGTAATCCAGAGTAGGAATACGCAGTAACTAAGAGACTATTCGTGACTTGGCAGCCTAATATTATTTTGGCCGAAAAGTACGCAGGGTCTCCGGGCTTCTGTCTAATGATCAAGCTTCAGCCATCTAGTTCAAGACACTAGCATCGTGCAGAAAAAAAGCAAAGCATGTCCCAGATTTGACACGAAGAAGCGTTGCTATGTTGAATCAACCTGGTCCTGGCGCGAATACCACGCATGTGACACCATTTGCAAAAGTTGCAACTCCTATATCGCAGCTGTCGCCACAACTGGGATGTGTTGAACGACACCCGGGTGATGGTAACGAAATTTGAGTTGGAATGTTCGAATCGAATGCAAAACATGTCCGTGAAATATACCCCAAGTCCCCAGGTTTTACAAGTGATGACGAACGGTGATTCTGAACTCGCACAAAATACACAGGGCAGCGTTCAGACTTCGTGATAACGAGCGTCGACGCGCTACCACTGCGATAGCGCTCCGATGCCATATAATGGTAACGCAGCCATAGGTGGTATCGATCGGCACCGGCCCCTACAGTTTTGAGAGAATTCAGGAGTATAGAATGGTAACCGCTGCTCAACCAGACAATCTGGTACCCTCCTATTCTTCTATACTTTTCCAGAACAGTGAGGGATGACGCCGATCGATACTCAAATAAGGCCGGGTCCCTTTCATGGTAAGGGAGCGCTGTTGCTCTAACGGCGCCTTGACGCACGTCATTGTAAAGTCTGAACGCTACCCGGAAACCAGATCCGAGCAATTACAGAAGTAAAGCTCTAGCTGAAAACTTGAATGGAACGTGTTACCTGTACTTCCGAGTTATCCCGTGTTAATGTCGTTGCAAGTGTAGTTGTCACTGTTGTCAACATGCCGGCACTTTCCGTTGAACGCGGAGTTTCTTCGGAACTTGAAGTTTCTGCAGTAAAATGTATCTTGAGCCGAGGTCGAACTTTTACCGAACTCACTGATAAAGTTTAGTAGTAAGGCCGTGTTACTACTCTACGAATGCGAATATGCGCGATTTCGGTGAATCGGCGACAAGAGAAGATGGGAATCGATTCCTTCCGCCAACCAGAAATCGCGGTTCGCTTGAATCGGTGATATAGTGATTACTGATACTGTTACAGATAACGGTCGGTTGCCTAAGAGTCGCGCAAACTCAATATCTATATGTATACTTTACTTTCGCGTATTCTTCACATTCGCAAAGTATAATCGCTGTTTGAAACGAGTGTTACCGGAAGAATCAGACGCATTTTCATAGGACGACACACTGGGTTCGAGAATAGTTACTGGTGGTGCAGTACTGGTACTGGCTATACCACTGGCCGTTACACGGCTTGTAATTACAGATGGTTTCCTTTGGTCCTATAATTAACAGTAGTAAAAAAATGGAAGCAATGTAATTAACATCAGAAAAAAAAGTACTCGACGGCAGTAGAAAAAAAAACGAATACAAATAACACATGCCTTGATGTAGTTTCTCTGGAATGCCATGAGGTTCTCCTTTGATTATGGAACATAGGAATCCGCTTTGGTTCAACGTAGTATGGCCTGTAGCTAGAAATATACATCGGGGCTGCCCTTCCGATTAACTCTTCTTCCTGCAAAAAAAGGAGTGGAACAGGAGCCCATGCTAGTGCAAGAAGGGGCTGCAGTCAGTGAGGGTGAGTCGCTCACAAGCGTTTTTTTTTTCGCAAACACTTCGCAATAATAAAAAGAGCGCTCAAGCGCAACTGTGGTAAAGTACACCTTGGTCCTTATCGTGGCAGTTGTAGAAGAGTATCACTTTTGCCAATTCGAAGAGCGTGCCAGTGGAACTGGGAGGGGGGGGGGGTAATAGCTGTTATTTTCGTTTATGTTCCCGTCTGCAAACAAAGAATGTCACAAACACGCAACACGCCGCACCATGCGACTATCCATATCCAGACGCAATACTTGATTCTACTCCCTCTCGTTTTACGAGAGGCGCCATCGTTCTATACAGTGCGTCTTCGGCACATGCTGCTCGTTGTGGACGTGATGCCAACTCCTTCGCTGCAGAAGCATGATGGTCCATGTTCCCGCACCGGACATGTTTGCAATAGCCATAGTGCATAACATGGGTCGAATACTGAGGGGGACATTGGAGAAGATCCAGCTTTCACGACCCTCCAGCTTTACTGCCACTCATTTCGATGATGCGATACTCTTAAACAGCTGCAAATCTGCTCACCTTGCTTATAAAAAAGATTATTCCCGTACGGCATGTTGTCAAGGACAAACGGCACACCCACCTCCAAGAATCTTGGTAGTTGTCATCTGCGAGATTAGAGGGACCGCAGCTGCACTAGCGTGCTTCTTTCTCCGGAAATCTCATGGGAACGGGGCTGGAGGGTAGTGATGCCTATGTGCCGTCTCCAGACTCCGCACGAGCTGGCGAGCGGTCAGCCACAAGCCTAACCATAGACAAGCAAGCTACTTGCGCCATCTCACGTCTGTCTAGTTGTTCTACACCCCTGACTGCGCGTTTGTCGCGAGATATTACCTTGATGACAGCGCGTCTGGAGAGCTACAGAACCGGGTACCTGTCCCACGTCAGCATCACTTCACTAATTTGTCGCCCCAAAACGACGCCAAGGCTTTCACTGCGATGAAAACCGTGACAGCTGTCCCGCACCAACCGCATAAAAAGGACCCCAATCCATAAGAATTCGAGGACAACCTAAGCTCAAGGGTAAAGAGCAGAGTAGGTTTTGCTGTATTTTACTCATCTGCCATTGCTGTCACAAGGATGACGAAGATCGATACAAGCTACAGTAATAGTCAGTAATAAAGATGATTGCACCCACATGATTGCCCACACACGAGCTATGACTTCTTATGCTAATACTATGATCAGAGAGAAAAATGCAATTTGAGCCAGAAAAAAGGGGATACGTCGTGATGAGAAAATAAATGACAAAACAATAAAGACAGCAAAATAGCAAAGTAGAATTGAAAATCAACTCACAACATTGTCAAAGTCTACAGATGGAGATTTCACTTCCTGGTGAAAGTATTCGATGTCATCCTCGGTCTTTGCGGGACGAAACAAATAGAAGAGTAGCACACCGATTAAAGTAAGAAATAACAGCAGCAACACAATCACTCCAAGCAGTATGGGTCTCCTCCTAAAAGGAGCTAAATCAATGAGAACCAGCTCTAGAGAGGGCTCCCATGAAGAATTCAGTAACACCTTTTTAGCCACGTTACGATAACCATTCTCCTTTCTCCTCACAGAAAAATGTAATTTGACGGGACAAATAACCATTCTGAAGCCCCTTTTCATTTCCTTAAGGTAAACGGGTGGTATGCCAAGGACATAAAAGCTGAATCACGCGAACCCTACCTAACATAAGTAGATGCCAACTTTATTCCTTGAAGACACTCTGTACATCAACCTCCGCGCATCCTGCTCCTTATCGTGTGTGAGATGAGTGGATCCGCAGCCACCGCGCCCACTTTCCCCGCTTGGAAAGTGCACGGGAGCGGGACTGGAGGTTAGTGGTCCCGAAGCGCCGTCTCCACACTTCGCCAGCGCTGCCGCACGACAACCACACGCCTAACCATAGCCAAACGCGCTACTTGTCTGCGCACTCTCACTCTGCTTGTTCTCCATAGACCTTCGCATCGACCCAAGGGCTGCACGCGAGGATAACGCGGGTCGGCACTCGGGTTCCGTTACTCTACAGTCGCGTTCCTATAAAATCGCATATGAAAAGGACCGTTCTCAGAGTGTGAGTAACATACTACAAAGGTAAATCTGGTCGTCTGCGCTCTACGCTTACACCTGGACTAATGAAGGGGCAGCAGAGGCGCTGCCGCGTGGCCTAACTCAACTATGTTAGCACCGGTGCACGATTACTTCCATTGTTTTCCAATGCACTGTTTGGCTACATAAGATTTCACCTACATTTTGGGAGAAATCTTCCGGTGTGAAGCATTTTATTGATAGATGAAAAGGACAAATGTAACTTGCCATTTTGTGCAGAAAGTTGGCTCCAAACGGCTTTGAGCAGCAATGCACGGGTCCAGTTCGGATGTGTCACGTTTATGCGTTTTATAATCATTCCTATTATCCCTCATGATTTCTTGGATGTCGTTAGAGGGCTAAAAGCACTTGAACAATAACTCTTACGAAAAACATAAACATTTACCCGCACGGCAAATAAGCCCAAGAGACCAGAAATGTACAAAAGACACCAAGTGAATGTGCAAGTGTCCCTGGCTGCATTACAATGGAGATGAGAAACAAAAAATATTTGAAAAGAAAAAATTACGCATGGGCAAGAAAACTCATGATGGCTAAATAAAAGCAAACGCAACACATGACAAAATGGCGGAAGCGACAATGGCGCTGGCGCATGGGAGTCATGTAACCGTTCGAGTTTCTTGCACAGGTCCAACTGCGAAAGGAAAATGCGGAGGCGAATGAGGATGGCGTGTCAAAGCACAGAATGGTGCAAAAGTACGAGGTGTAGTTCATGGCGTCTGAGGCGGACGACTTTACGCGCTGAAATATCGCTAACTGGAACGTCCATCGTACATAGCTCACATGAAGGGATTTGAGGGTTGCTTTTTGGCGCAATCATTCTGCCACCGAGGTGGCAAAACATTTCTGGCAAACCGTCTCCTAGGAAAAACAGCTTGCCCGAAAGTTTGAAGACAATGATTAATGGTCCTCGTGATAAAGTATCACCATCATCGCCGCGTGAAGCCCACACGGTGTATCTCCCGCGCTCATCGTCAGGCGAGGCGCCGCGCGCGACGGTGCAGCGAATTACGATTCTCTTGCCCGTCTTCCGCAGCAAGCCTCATATGGATATCCACGTGGAAAGGGTGCCAGGCCAGACAGCAGCACGTTTCGTCGCTGATCACGCCCACCAGCGCGACAAGTTACGGTTGTCTTGTTACACACCCCTCCCCTATAATGATGCTGTTCAGAGGACAAAGTTCGAGAGTTTGTAGACCCATTAGAATTCGTGTAGGACCAATTATGAACGGCTGAACGGCCACACCACGATGGTGATGAAAACTATCATGTCCTACAGCAATTTATACATGAAAACAGTGCCATACCAAACGCGTCAGTTGAACCAGCCTCGGCGCTATGATAAGCCTACAAATAACACTACTGAGATCGACGCACTGTTTATTGAGAGGAATTTCTACAGTCTCTATCTTCGACATATTGAACTATTCCTACCCCAGTCCTTCGGAAGCAAGCCAGTTTTTTGCCGACTTTTTTCTGCGAGGGCAGAACCCAGACGAGCACTCTTGAAACGGTTCAGAATTCGCTGTCATTCGCTGTAATAAAAAGTAGTGTAATAGTAGTAGTAGTAGTAGTAGTAGTAGACAGTAATGGAAAAGGATGTCGCAAGTAAGCTGAAGGAGCTACAGATCTCATTGTTCTTACAGCTTGCTTGTCAGCGAGCTTCTTAAAAGAATCTTGTTGAAAAGATTTCTTGAGAGAAAGCGCTGACCAAAAGTTAATTAATTTAGAATTGGGAACACATCCCACTAGGGCAAATCGTGGGTAATAGGGTATGCATTCGAGCTCGCACCTGACCTGCTGCATTCAGAGAATAGCACGATACGCGACGCGACCGCGACGAATGCTGAAACAAGTAGCAGTAATTCGCTTAATTAATTTAGTACAACTCGTGATTGAAGGAGAGTATTGTCTATACCACCTCGCGACAGGGGGTCGTGCCAATACGAGCATTTTTTCCGTAGCGCCCTTAATGCCCTGTGCTCAGCAAAAAAATTCCGCACATTTTTTTTCTGCGCTCTCTTCAATATCGCTGCGAGCCACGCCCACCTCTGAAAGCTATAAAAGAGCATCGCCGCTTCACCTGTAGTATGGATTGCCATCGAAGGTTGGAAAAAAAACCTGCAATATCGGTAAAAGTATTCGGCAGGGGTTGCCGTCTGTGACCCCTTCCGGCAGGACGAGAATGTAAAAGATTCTGATACGTTATAATTATCAACGATGCTGGCGTTCCGTAGCACTTTTCTCCGAATACAAGCACGGGTGGTCAACAAAATCGATGACAACTTATATACGGGGTTTTTGACAATCTGCTTGCAAAAATGAGGTCCATTATTGATGTCGGGCTAATGGAGGACGAGCTGGTTAGGGACTGAGGGTATCTGATGGCGGGCACAGCTGCACCCCTTGCGCTTTCCTTGCCTACCGTAAGTCTTACGTATTTTACGCCTATTTTAATGAGCTATGAGTGTTTTTTTTTGTTTGCTGTGCATCCCTTTGCTCTGTTTTCGTTCGCACCATCACCTTTGCCGTTGTCTTGTAGCGGCACTATTGGGCTATTCCTACGCCGGTCTGCCGAAATCAGGCCGGTTCCGTACCGACCTTTTTCTACTATGGCTGAAAATTTGTTTGTAGGGGTAGTTCAACCTCCTGAAAACGAATATCACATCCGCTTCACCCGGAAACCTGGCGCCAGCGCCAAAATACCCTAAATCATCAAATTCGCTGAAAACTTGTCCCTAGGGGTAGTTTGATCCTCTGAACATGAATATCTATCCGCTTAGACTGAAACAGCCTGGCGCCCGCGCCGCAGATGCCGGCACTTCACGATCCTAGGTTATCAAATCCGTTGCAAACTTATATACAGAGGTCATTCGACATCCTGATTACGGACATGACATTTATTCTTGGCGCCAGTGCTAACATAGGACACTATGACATCTGCGCTTTGCTAAGGCTGACCCTGGTCTAAAGGGAATCACTCCTTCTTCCAGGCTCAGCCTTAGAAGAGCGCTAAATGGCGCTGGTGTCGAAAAATAAATGTCACATTTGTGATCAGGCATCTAACAACCCTATTGTGCACGCTTTATCAATTTAAATGAAAAGGGTACTTCGTCGAATCAGCGCCCCATGGCGTCAGGCTGGAAACTGAATGCGGTATTCGTGATGAGGACATCAAGTAACCCTACTATGCAAATTTACACCGAATTTGGTGAGAAAGGTGGCGGCGCCAAACTGGCGCCAATTTGGCGCCAGCGCCGAAAACGAGTGCTATATCCGTGATCAGGACACCGAATTACTTTGACGTGGCGTCAGTCCGTTCTTCACCAGTCGTCGAAGCAGGTTAGCGGAAGCAAGTGGTGTGATGCGAACGACATGACAAATTCTTGCCGCTTGTTAGCTTCATCATTTGGTGGAAAACTGGTTTGGCGTCGCGCTAAACACATACCGCCAGAGCACACCCCTTCATCCGCGGCGAACACGACTGCACAGCGTTCGCGCACGCCATCTTGGGAGACGGCCAGGAGTCACCGCCGCGCTCGAAACTAGGTCACCGCGCGCGGCGACCTGTCCGCGTGGCGCGGCGGTGAGTCCTGACCTGGCATTTTGCCAACTTCCGATCAATATGACCCTATCGCCATTTGCTTGGAGCGTTCTCTCTTTTCCTCATCTTCCATCTGCCAAGAACATGTCCAAACAGGTAGACATGTTCAAACATGCAAACATGTTAAAGCATGTAATCGCCGCGCGCGGTGACCCACTTCCCAGCGCGGCGACCTAGTTTCGGGCGCGGCGGTGAGTCCTGACACAAACCCCGCCATCTTGGACAGACGGAATATCGCCATCATCATGCCAAAGGTCCGGGTTCATGGGGAACGTAAATGCAGTTGCTAAGGGGATATAACAAGCAAAGAATGACAAATTTAGCGTGTCGTCAGCAAAAATCTGGACCCGATTTTCGAGAGAATTTGAATTGTGTGTTACTACGGTTTATATTTTTGAGTCTACATCGTGCCTGTATGCAATATTGCACAGTCGCAATAGCAGGGACCGAGATTGACGGGGAACTACAACCAGTACAGTTCGTAACGCGCAGTCGGTCGGGGGGTTTCAAGAGGGGAGCCCTACCACTGCTTGTTTTCTTCCTGATCGATCATGCAATCATACCATTTATCATTGAAGCATTCGTGCTTAGACTGAAAGTACGTGAGCACAGATAAAGAGAGCACACTTTTATGAGTCGTCGCCCATTTCTCCAATCAACCGATTAACCACTGTCCCATGATCGAGCAATTTCTCTGAAATATTAATATTGGAAGTCTGCCTAAATATTTTCTGATGTAAGCATTTTCTGCACCGCTAGAAGCTCTGTTTAGCACATCTGAAGTTGTAGTTGATATCGTCGCAAATCCACGGGGCGTTACCAGAAGCCATGAATGGGCTCGGCCGTGGCTTCTGTGACTGGTTCTTTTCTAACTGGACCCCAATATTGATAGAAAAAGCAGCCGCATACCGGCTAATTCCGCGCCTCCTGACACGCCCCGTCGGACTGCAGTGACATGAACTGTATGCAGGGAACGCGATGAAAAAAAACGTCAAACCAGAGCATTGTATAGGCTTCAAATACTTTTGTACTCCGCTCGCCTGTAGTGGCTTTCGACGGCTTGGTCACACATACTTTCTCGAGTTTGGTGCAAGCTTTCCTTAGATCATCTAGTTTCCTTTTGAACAAATGTAAAAAATGTTACGCAGCTTTTTTTAATTTATATATTTAATTTAGTGGTATTGTGCGGAGTTATGTTTGCCATCCCTGTCTGTCAATAGCTGTGGACGGGATTGCAATAGAGGCGGGGTTTGTGAGAGCAGAGACAATATGACCGCTTCAACATTGACGAGCTTCCTCAGGCATACTGATGAATAATCTGGCTAATTTTTTTCAACTTCGCACCTTACAAGCAGCTCCATCCTATGACTCCGCCTCATCTTTGCGTCGAAGTATCTCAACACGGACCTGCTCTGGTCTGATTGATATCTTGCAACCCATATATAGAGGCAGCGTTCGGACTTCGCGATGACGCGCGTCTACGCGCTGTGACGCGCTGCCATTGCAACCGCGCGCTAATGCTAAGGAAGGTAGACAGCAATAGACGTGTACCACTCGGAGCCGGCCGCTACTTGCCTAATCCACACTATCTAGTACCCTCTTATTCACCCACGCTCTCTCAAACACTCCACACTCTTTCAGAACAGCAGGCTTGCGCCGATCGATTTGTCTATTGCTGTGTTCCCATCTATAGCACTGGAGCACGGTTATAATGGTAGCGCGTGGTAGCGTATCAATGGGCGCCATCGCAAACTCTAAATGCTCCCTTGGTAGGTTTAATACTGAAGTAATACGCACGTAGCAGAAGTAGCCCGTAGTTTATGAGCACGTCAGTGGTTCCGACTGAAAACTTGTTAATATTACTCGGAGTAACCTGGCCATAGTGCGGAATTTTTTGGGATACGAAACATTTCCATATCGAATATCTAATATTCATTATTTCCAGTCCACATTCCGCCAAAGCTGCCGCCATGCGCTATGCTTCACTTCACCGTCATGGATCACGACTACTTGCAATCGAACGATTTCGCTGGAGAAGCATTTCTGGAGCTGGCTGATGTAAAACACTTTATTTTGATTATGGGCCATCTATCTAGTATATGCCACTCCGGTCATAGAGCGAGACAGAGACTATTTCCACCATAGAAAAAGCTCGATATCTCGGATAAAATGCAAGCTTCATGCCTGCACCATATTGGAAATCATTTTATCTTTTTTAAGCTATCAAAAAGCCATTGAGCTGAGAGGGTAAGAGCTTCCGGTAGCGTAGGCAGTCGCCCGGTGAGCATAAGATGGGGATTCGAGTCTCGTCTGGGGTCTGACTGTGGCCCATAACGATACTTTCTTTTTGCATATTCATGAGTTTTTTCTTCCGGTGAAGTGAATTAGAACCTAGAGCTCTCCACTGGGACCCTGCGTGGTTTGCAAACGCGAAATGTGTCTTTAGGACTGGTGAATCAACGATAGGGCCAGCAAATCACAAAACCAAAATGCTGTTTACCCTCAAAAATATCTCTTAAAGACACATGGTACGCTCAGACATATTGAGGGTGTATGAGACTATCAGCCCCCCAGCTGTCGATGTGTCGTGGTCCCCCGCCCAAACATGCCCAGGAATGGAGATACAGGACCGTGAAACACGCTAATTCCTCCATGCTCCGCCTTACACCTTTTTGCCCCGTCCTTCATAACATCCGTCGTAAGCGCGCGTGTCGCGTGCGGCTCCTTGGCACTTTGCCAAGTCCTTTAATTGCGCTCTCAAATACAAGTAAAACGCAATTTCCTGATGCGGATAACATTGGAGGTGCTACAAAATAAGAACAGAAGATGATGACGAGGGCCAGAACTCAAGAGCAACTCGGCTGCATCTGCAGTATCCATCAGAGGCCGCGCATTCCCACAAAACATGAGAATAAAAACAGCCCAAGCGTCCCACTCGTTTGTTCTAAGTATTTCTATGGCTTTGGCGCCGGATCGTAGAAATTTACAGGCCAGTTTATCTAATTTGCCTTTCCTTGATTTTTTCATTTTTGTTTTGTTTACATTTACATCGTTGTGCTTCATTTCTAGCCTGTGTCATCTTCATCTCCTTGTACATGGATTTTGAAGCATGAGCAACACCTAAAATTTTATTCGCATCAGGAAATTGCGTTTTGCTTGTATCAAACTAACGAGTATGCCGTTTTTATTTTCATGTTTCGTGGAAATACGCGGCCTCCGAGGGATGTTGCAGAAGTGGCACAGTTGCTTTTAAGTTCTGACCCTCGTCATCATCTTCTGTTCTTATTTTGCAGCACCTCCAATGTTATCCGCATCAGGAAATTGCGTTTTACTTGTATTTGAAAGCGCAATTAAAGGACTTGGCAAAGTGCCAAGGAGCCGCACGCGACACGCGCGCTTACGACGGATGTTATGAAGGACGGGAATCTGCGCCGCAAAAAGGCATTGGGCGGAGCATGGAGAACTAGCGTGTTTCACGGTCCTGTATCTCCATTCCTGCGCATGTTTGAACGGGGAAACCGCTATGCTTCGACAGCTGGGGGGCTGCTAGTCACACCTCATATGTGTGAGCGTACTATGTGTCTTTAATGAAAATCGTTAAAAGAATCCAATCATAATCTACACCTCTTGAAAATACATTGAAACAATTTATATTACAGGTTCCCTGGCTTCGGAGTGGCTGGCGGCAATACACTTCGACAATTTAATCTCATTGCTTATACAACCTGTTCGAATAGTAGGTCTTATAGTTCAATGTTTCTTTCTTGATTTTTCTGAAAAATTGTGTTTGGCTTTAATTCAAAACTTTTCTTCAGATAAAGAAATAATTGATGTCTTGGCAAGTAGAAAAGAAGATAAAGAAGCGCTCGAATTCCTTCGGTCGATTACTACGGCTTATTAGTTTTGAAATTGTGTCAAATAATATTGCAGAATAATCGTGTGATATTCATATTATAGCATCACTATAGAAGCTTTATAGAAATGCGGTATATATGCGGTTAGTGCTAGGAACAGGTTTTGTTCCAACAGTTTTTTTTTGTATTTTGTTCAAATTACCCACCTATTGGATATAACTGCTTCGATATCTGGTCATTCGACAGGCATTCCATTGTACATTCATTGATCTCGATAATACTTCTCTAATGAATTAAAAATTATGTACATTGTGGTGTTGTTGCAATACATGAAAACTCGTGCGTCTAGGTCAAAGGAACGTTCCTAACCCACGAAAATGCAAAAGATTGTTTGGGAAGGGTATTATGACTTCGCAATGGAAACCTCGGGCCTCCAGACTACGCTTTCCAGCCAAGAGCGATACTACCGGACAAGTACACCCGAAATCCCTGAGATGCGGTAGGCGTGGCTGCATACTTCAACTAAATGCAGCGGTAGTTATGCTTTTGATGAGATATTTTCATTGTGACACAATTGCTGTCAGGGCAAGATGACAGCTGCCTCGGATCGAAATATCACACGAGTAAGCCATCCTATGCCATGTGTAAATGCCACGCCTATCCCGTCCCAGGGATAAGGAGTGCAGCAAAACCACTGGCTGGACTCGCCCCAACACGCTCTTTTTGGCCTTTTACCGGTGCAATTGCTTGAGGCTGCAATGATTCCATTAAAATCGTTGCCAGCATTACCCTATAGCATTCCCTCTCACACACGAGTCACATGACAACTTCTTTTCCAAAACTTCAACACTACCGCGGTCCTTATCGCGACCGTGCCTTGAAATGAGTCAGTTTTCACCCTGCAGATCTTATCCTCCTATGGCAACATATAGTGAGTCAACATGAGGTAATAGTCAAGAGGACGAGTGATTTACCACTTATAGTACTGTGAACAACTAAAAGTGAGAGGGGGGAGAGAAGTAGCTCGTCTGGCCATAGTTAGGAGAAGAAATGCAACCAGGATGACTCCCCAGCCCCGTTCCCGTGCACTTGTGAGAAGAGGAAGTGGCACGATACTGCAGCTGTGGACCCATTCACCTCGCAAACGGCAAGGACCTGGATCCACCGAGGTTAGTTTACAGTTCCTCTTCAAACAAAAACTAGCCTTGTGACTGGAAATGTGGGCTCATGCTGCTTCTGCTCTGCGAAAACCATGGCCCCCAAAAATTGTAACAATTTGTGTCCATAGTAGCGTAACGCCCAAGCTAACAATTCGTCCCAACGAACAAAAACAAGAAGGAATTTATTATATTCATTTCTACACAATGTCTCCATAGAAAAAGCAAAACGTCTACATAAGAGCAACAACAAGAAAATAACAATTGAAAAAAGATAACTTCACTAAACAGCAAAGAGAAGGCTAAAGAATAGTTTCAGTCAATCTTCATACCGCAACATTTTGGATTGACTGAAACCTATGGGAATAGGGAACGTTTCTTCTTTGCATTGAACTATGCTCGAATCCATCATAATCAGGTCGCGTTGTACATTGGGGAACCCCAGCGAGGTGAGGGAGGAGGGTTACATTTAGTTGCTGCTAGGGGGTCGTAATTGCCTTCACGAAAAAAGTTTTTGGTTTTCCGCTGGCATCCTCCGTACTTTCGTTTCAACTGCGTCATCAACTCTGTCACCCCCTCCCCCCTAAACTCCCCTATGACGGCAGGCGGCCCTTCAAAAAAAACTGGATATTTCGGGTAACAAATATGGGAAATTCGTAAGGAGTTAGGAGACTTGGAAGGATGGCGGGTGGATTTCGGCGGCCGTTCTTCCTCTGGAAAAAAAAACTGGACATTTTGGGGAAAAAATTCGGGGAAACTGGTAAAGCGTTGAGAGAATTTGAGAAGTTGGTAGATATGTCGAACTAGGTGGCCGTCCACCTTCTGGAAAAAAATGGATATCTTGGTGAAAAAATCGAGGAAACTGGTAAGGAGCTGAGATTTGAGAAGACGGTAGGTAGAACTAAACGGCAATTTTTTTAGAAAAAAAAACTGGATATTTTGATGGAAAAAATTCATGAAACTGGTAGAAGTTGAGAGTATTTGAGAAGATGGCAGGTAGAATTAGGCGGCCGTTTCTTTTTTCTCGAAAAAAACTTATTTTGGGGAAAAAGTTAGAGGGAAACTGGTAGAAAATGAGAGAACTTGAGAAGACGGCAAGTAGAATTAGGCGGCCGCCTTTCTTTTGAAAAAAAAACTGTATAATTTGAGGAAACAAGTTTCGGGAAACTCCTAAGGAGTTGAGAAATTTGAGGAGACGGCAGGTAGAATTAGGCGGTCGTCTTTTTGAAAAAAAACTGGATATTTTGGGGAAAAAATTCGGGGAAACCGGTAAAGAGAATTTGAGAAGATGGTAGGTAGAATTAGGAATGGGGAAGGAAGAAATTCCGAGAAAGGGTCGTTCTTTGTAGAAAATTTCCCCATTGGCAGGACGTGCCCTGACTAAACTAGATAGTTCTTAGTATACGACGGAGTAAGCAAGTCTCCTAAAAAAATACCTACCGTTACTTCAGAACAGGCACGTACGGTGGGGAATCCCCAATGAGTATTTGGCCTGGAAGATGTTTCCGACTGCTATTTTCTTTTAATACGACCACCCCTTTTTCAGCTGCTGACGCGGCGAAGCTACCACTTCTGGTAGTTGATGGAGGTGTACACGCAGTCCGTCCCACCCCTTCTGCTAGACAGCATATTTTTAGGAAGGTCTTTGAGATGGCTGAATATCAGTGAAGGGGGGTGGGGGAGGAGGGGTATTTGGCTGAAATTCCCCCCAAGGACAAGACGCGCCGTGTTCACAAACTGCACAAGACCGGTAATTTTCTTTTTACTTAGGATTTTCGCCATAACTGTGCTCCAAAGCAGGAGGCAAGTGACCCACCGCCAACTTGAGTTCGTGGACTACGATGAAGTTCGTGGCAACACGACGAAGTGCGCTGGTGTACACGCTTTAATGAGATAGCGCCTCTCTGTGCACACCTGCAGCCCGTGTCGGCCCATGAAACTCTTTCCGCGCACTTTTGAAGGAGACAAGGGACAAACTCTTGCAGCGACGGACTAGCCCGTCTTATAGGAGCCCGGGGATTGCACCTATCCTCTCACCGTGATGAGCTTTCTAGGATGAAACGCCCATCATGTCCAACACTCCATATCGGGGATGCCAGTTACACACGT